ACATTTCTGAGTTTCAGCTGTTTGCCTCTACCGTAAGAAACTCATAGCCACAGGCCAGACTAAAGTCCCAGCCAACAGGCAAGGGTTCCTCCAAGGCTCCCCAACCCAAGGGCACACCTCTGGGGCCATGCTTCAAACACCAGCAGCTTGATCATTGGACTAAGGAATGCACAAAGCCCATGATTCCTTCAGAGCTGAGCCTACCAGGGTCCTTCACTGGAAGTCAGACTGCCCCATGCTAGCATCCTCCTCTGGATTCTGCTCCCAGGGCCCTCCAGGCAGTTCTCTCCCAGACTTCGGATTGTTGACATATGACTGACAGTTCCTAGAGGCTCTGGAGGCCCCCGGACCATGTCAGATGCTGAGCTTCCTGTAACTCTTGCGGTGGACAGGAAGTCCATTTCATTTGTAATCAGTACTGGGGTAACTCACTCCATCTTGGTTTTTTTTAAAGGACCAGTTTCCTTGGCTCCAGCTACTCATGTGGATATTGATGGCAAGGTCTCCAGGCCTTTTAAAACTCATCCAATTGGTGTCGGTTAGGTCAACAGTTTTTCTCCCGTTCTTTTCTGATTGTTCCTACCTGTAGCCCCTCTTATAAATCCTCCAGGCAGGATACCCTCCTACTCTTACAGCACCTAGACAAGAGAAGCCACTGTGTCCCAAGGCCCAAGTCGCCTCTCCATCTGTCACCCATCTGGGTGTCGTCCTGCACAAACGCACTTGAGCTCTTCCTCCCGACCACGTCCCATTAATTTCTCAGATCCCGACCCCCACCACAAAATGGCAGCTTCTTTCCTTTCTAGGGGTACTTCTGTCTCTGGGTTCCTGGCTTTGCTCTCCTTATCCAGCCCTTATACAAACTCACAAAAGGGGGCCCAGCTGAGCCTTTAGATCATAAAAATTTTCTTCACTCCTCCTTCCAGACCCTAAAAACAAGCTCTAAAAAGAGCTCCAGCCTCACCTCACAAGACTGCAGTCAACCTTTCTGTCTATATTACCATAGAACACAGAGGCTGTATGGCCACCGTCCTGCGCCAGGGGCCAAGCCCATGTCTGGTTGCTTTTCTGTCCAAACAACTTGATTCTACCGTCTCAGACTCGCACCCTGCCTATGGGCAACTACTGCAGCCCTAATGCTTATTGAAGCTCTAAAATCACCAAAGGGACGCTGCTCATGCTGTGTTCCTTCCATATCTTGCAGGGCTGTGTACTCTCCTCACCTCTCCTCTCCTGCCTGCGCCTTGGCTCTCACAGTGATATCACTCTTTGTAGAAACTCCCATGGTGACTGTTGCCACCTGTTCACTTTGCAGCCCCTCCCCAGACTCACCCCTCTATCTCTTAACAATCACTCTGGTCTCTGTAATAGCCGCCATCTCCCATGTACAAATATGTATCCACGGAACACCTGCGCTCAGACCCCTACTGCTCCGTCTCCTCATACCCACCTTCCATCATTACCCCAAATGGTTAACAACAGACCCTAAGAGGTTTTTCCTTTACTGGGGGAACCCAACCATTGGTGCCCATCAAACTCCTGAAGTCAGAGGGCCTTCGCAGCCACTCATGGGTGCTGTCCTGTCGGGCACATTCAGTGTTTGGGATAATGAGGACAAAAGGCTTAAACATCTTTTTGGCATCCATAATCCATTCTGTTTAGCTAGTCAAGGGGTTTTCTTCTTCTGTGGGACCTCCGCCTATCTGTGCCTCCGCACCAACTGATAGAACCTGTACACTGGTATGTCTTACCCCAAATAGACACAGCCCCAGGAAACCACAGCCCGCCTGTCACAGTAAAGGCCCAAGTTCAGCAACAGAGGGCCACTCAGCTGATTCCCCTCCTTGTTGGCTTGGGGATCGCTGCTGCAATGGGACTGGGCAGAGCTGCCCTCACCAGCTCTCTTACTGTCACTGCTTGTCTCAGGACCTATCTGAAAGTCTCGAAGAGATAGCTAAGACCATCGTCACCTTTCCAACCCAGATGGATTCTCAGGCATCAGTAGCCCTCCAAAACTGGAAAGGCCTAGATCTCTTAAGAAACGAAAAAGGCAGCCTATGCATCTTCCTAGGGAGGAAAGCTGTTTTCACACAAATCAATCAGGCACAGTGCAAGATGAAGCAAAAAGGGTTTACTCAAAAGGCTTCAGAAATCAGACAGTATATGTCCAATGCTTGGACTAATGTCTGGGGCTGGCATCAGGGCTCCTTGCCTGAGCAGGGCCTCTGGCCTGTGTAATCCTCCTTCTTCTTTTGGGACCCTGTCTTCTCACACTCCTGTCACAGTTCCCAGAGAACTGCATGTATTCAAACAATCACGGATAAATAAATGTTTTTTTCTCTTCACCTCAGTATAAAACAGTTCCTCAAAACTTCTTCCCACCAGGTTGCCTGTCCAGCCCTTCCATCACACATGAAGTAGCCATGAGAAACAACACCCATCTCCCCTCCCACGCCCCCCTTTTCTGTTTTTCTATAATAACAAAAGGACAGGACTGTCAGGCTGGACCTGGTCTGGACTTTCCCAGCACCCTCTGCTGTTTTCAGTAAACTCCTGAAATGCGCAAACAGCCGGAAACCATAAAACAAGTTGTGTCTTCCCCGGACAAATGGGACAGGATGTCACAGAGGAGAGATAAGGCAGGACAGGAGACCTTCTTGGGCACCAAGACATCTGATAACATCTATACATCTGCACCAGATGATCTCAGAACTTTTGTCACGGATGTCTGCTCAGACCCCTCGGGTGATGCCCCTCTTCTGATTTTCTCACATGACCTCCTTCCCTGTAGTCCCCATAAAAAGCCCTGCTTTTCTTTGTTCCACATGGATGGTCCTTTCACCCTCTGTCTGCCTGCACCCAGGTACAATAATCCTCCTGCCACGTTGCCTCCACACAAGCTGCTCGAGCGGTCTCTGGTAGTCTCTACCTTGTGCTGTTCATTATACCTGTGTCAAAATCACTTCTTAAAAATTAAAAAGGGCTGGGGGCTGTTGCTTAGTGCAAAGACTCTGGGTTCAATTCCCAGTATGAGAGAGAGAGAGGGGCTAGGGATTTAGCTCAGCGGCACAGCGCCTGCCTGGCAAGTGTGAGGTCATGAGTTCAATTCCCGGAACCAGAAAAATA